GTTTTGGCAGCAAGTACCAGAGCTGATGATGAGGTAATATATTTTAGTTTTTATTACCATGATGTTTTAAACCTTTAAATCATTTTCATCTCAATCACTAATCTTTATTTTTTATATGCTTATGTTCTCCGTGAAATAAACAACGCGAAAGATACATATCTAATTTTCCATTTAGTGGCTCTAAAGTTCTACTGTGAATTTATTCTTATAAAAGATGAATAAATCTTATGTATTTCAAAACAGTGGCTGGTGACAGAAAGAGCAAAATCACAATGGAGAAAGTACAAAGCAATGGTTGATGATGCAAAAGCAAAGACAGAAAATTCTGATTCTAGACTTTCTTGTAGTCCTCAAGAGACTGCTGGAATGTCAGGTATTTCATTGCTTTTTGCTATTAAAAAATAAATAAAAAATCTGTTCCTCTCCTTTCAAAGCTGATAGTGCAACTTACCCATCTACATTTCCTAATTTCCGAGTATCAACACTATCTTTGTATCTGTGTTTAGAATCAGAAGCTCAACCATGCGATTATTTGAAGCATAATGGAGCTGAAGAGGATTGCATCATGGATACTGTTGGAGTTATTTGTGTGGATGCTGAAGGACAAATAGCATCTGGCGCCTCAAGTGGGGGAATTGCACTGAAGGTGACAGATGGTTATAAGAATTTGCACTCTTTGTCATCTCTTTGGAGTGACTAGTGAATGAAAATCTAACAGGTTTTTTGTATGAAAAAAATACAGGTTGGTGGGCGTGTGGGATTAGCAGCTATGCACGGTGCAGGCTGTTGGGCATCCTCCAAAGGTGTTTTTGGGGCTCCATGTATAGTTGGCTGTTGTGTAAGTGGTGCTGGAGAATATCTAATGAAAGGATTTGCAGCTCGTGAGTCCTGCGTCTCTTTGTCAGTGTATGTCCTTATTACTATATAATTTTTTCTTAGATGTTACCCTTGACGTGAATGTTGAAATTGAAGATAGCTGCCTCCTCTCACTCACTGACGCACACACCAACAAGCCTGCTTCAATGCACATTGAAGTGACCAACGTTTGAAGCGATCCTGATTCTTCAAAGTTATAATTAGAACTGTAGAGTTGGCTGACCTACAATCCCTATTCAATTGCGTAGTTTATACACCATTATGTGAACTTGACAGTCATATTCATTGGTTAGTTCACAGGCAGGCCCTGCCTCTGCTTGCATGAAAGTTTTACGTTCTGTTGTTCAAGAGAGTAATAACAATTGTACTGATAGAAGTGCCGGAATTCTACTTGTGCAAGCTGATGCTCCTATACTGGTGAGTTCCAAGCTAGAACCTTTTTCGTGTTAGTTGTCTGAATGAATTTTTGTTTTGTTTTATTTGTCTGGAAGTGTATGTTCATATGTTGCTTTTTTAGGTTGCAGGAAGTTCTCCAAAGTTGAAAGCTGTAGAGATTGCAGCTGCTTACACGTCTTTATCCTTTGGAATAGGATATTTTGGGAGCGCTATGGAGCGGCCCAAGGCATGTTTCGTAGTCTTTTGTGATCGTTTTATCATTAACTGGCTTCATCTTCTGCCTTCCAGATCTGACTTCTAGCAAAGATTGTGGTGAACTGGGGATCCAATCCGAAATTTTTGACTAAATTTATTTCCCATCTTTCAGGTTTCAATTCTTAGGAGTACAAAATTGCAAAGCAAAACTGGAGTGGACCATTTTGAAGCACGAATTGATCTTTCGGGTGGAAAGCTGTCGTGACTGCAAACCTGCGGTTGTGTTTTTACCCACCTATGCAGTGAGCTTCGATTTAGAAGATCATTGGTCGCAAATGGTTACTAGCTGTATTCTAAATTTTTCCGTTGGTGTTGGTTATTCCTTATTTCATTGCGAAAACTACATTTGGATGTTAGCAATTTTCTCTAATGTGAGGTTTTCCTTGTACCAAAAGAAAAAGAAAAGTACGCTCTTCCGTAACTTGTCCCAGCAGGTGCATGTAAACATTTGATAAACAACATATTAGGTTTCACCTCGCCCGTCGCCAATTCGATGAAATTGCACTTGCACATAACAAACTCAGCTATACTTCGTTGAATGCGGCACTTGCAAAGATTTAGACTCGAAAGCTAATAAGATTGCACTCATTACATTCAGTCTGCAAACCTCATCTCTACTAATGCGTAGAGAGGATGCCTTAACAGGATTTTTATCGTATGACACACAGCAGTTCCCAGTCTTACACAAACCTCCTAACCTAAATACATTATTACGTCCCGGCCAAGAAGCCTTCGCTCGTTTGACTGGGAAACTGAAAAACCAGCTCTCACAACCGATAAGCGCACAAAGGAAACGTTCTCCCGATATAAAAACAACAGTTGCTTGGATCTAGGTTAAGATGGCTTCTCCAACTGAATTGGACTCACAACAGTAATTCTGAACATCTTACTGGAAGCTGTGTATTCTTTTTGCTGATACGAGAGTATTAGAGAGAAGCATTGCTATTGTCATTGGACCCACTCCCCCGGGAACTGGAGTAATTGCTGAAGCAATCTGGCTGGCCTCCTCGTAACACACATCTCCAACCAGCCGATAACCTCGAGGACTCTTTTCATCCTGTAAAAAATGCACACAATGAACTCAAAACCTACTACCTTGAATCAGAGACAAACATCAACATGGCATGACCGAATCATCTCATCTCAATTTTTCAGAACACGGATATTGAAAATTCTCTAATAACAAAGTCAGTGCTTCATTTCGTTCACAAATCTTGAGGAAAATCAACAACAAATTTAACAAAGTTGAAGTAGAGAAAGGGAGAGATGTACTTAAGGACTAATTGTCAATGCACGATAGAAGGGAGTATCAACAAAGCATTCCTCACCTCAACTGGATTGATTCCGACATCAATAATTACTGCACCGGGTTTGATCCAGCTGCCCCTCACCATATTTGGTTGCCCCACGGCAGAGATTATAATATCCGCTTGTCTTGTGATCTCCTCAGGATTCTTGGTTCGGGAATGGACTATACTGATTGTAGCATCTTCCCTCTACCAGCACATGCATATTACGTTAGCTCAAGAAGCGAAACAAATAACTTATAACTAAGTCAACTGAAATGTCACCTGCAACAATAAAGCAGCTGGCATCCCAACAATATTGCTCCGGCCAATTACAACAGCTCTCTTTCCCTTGATAGGGATGCCATATCTATGCAACAACTCTATGCATCCTTTTGGCGTGCAAGGAACAAACAAGGGGTCCCTACCACGCATGGCAAGACGGCCAATATTTAGCGGGTGAAACCCATCCACGTCCTTCTCAATGCTAACAGCATTTAAGATGTTTTGCTCATTCATATGCTGGAAACATACACATGAAAAACAATTAGACCGGTTAGTCAATCGCAAAACATGATGGAACAAATGCAGTTATAATAAGTTTGCAAATTCATCTACATTTCCATGGTCGTGAAAAGTTATACAGAACTCCACATACATCCCATATGACTCATGTTTTAATGACAAAATGAGGGCAGAAGGGAGGTAAATCAATGGGGAACCAACATGTCCTTATCTAATTCATTTCATAGCTAAGTACACAAAACATGTATATGATGAAATCCCCAAGAAATATTAAAATGAATAGGCCCTGAAGCCACAAAGCAAAACAACCTAGAGTTCCATCGACAACAGTCAACAGAGTCAATCATTCTCACGAAACTAAAACACCAACCTCCATGACCAGCAGTTCTCTATTTTCGAAACGAGGATATTGACGAAATTGAATATACTAAAGAGCTTGAAATTATGTAAAATTAGTGACTGAACTTTAAAACATTTGAATAACTTGTTATTTATATTATGATTGAAACATGATTTCACAAAGGGAAAGCAAAATTGGAATTTAGAAGCATACACAAGGCAGGGGTAGCTGCACAAGGATGCCATGAACTGAAGGATCATCATTGAATCCCGCAATGGAGTTGAGCACTTCTTGTTCCGGGGAACCCTCGGGCAAGCGCACTTCAAAAGAATTAATCCCCACGGACTCACAAGCTTTCTTCTTGTTGCGCACATAAGTGGCAGAGTCCTTCCTGTCCCCAACAAGAATAACTGCCAAACCCGGAACAATGCCAATTGCATCCTTCATCTTCGACACTTCTGCATTGATCTCATCTCTGATTTGCTTCGCAACGGCTTTCCCATCGATCACTTTTGCCGATTCTTCAGTGGCCAATGAAGCTGTAAAATGGAAATTCAATAAACAAATTACAGAAACTGCTTTTAGAATTCTGCCAAGGTTTTATTCATAGCCCTCCACATGTTCGATGAAATGCGTCAGAGAACAAAAACACTCTCAAACAGCTAATCACACTCTTTCAACAGAACTCTAATTTGTTATGTACGAGAGGGAAGAGAGGCGTACCGGTGGGCGACGGAGACGGCGAAGCAGAAGCGGAGGAGGAGTGAAGGGAGAGGCGTCTAGGGGAGCTAGGATTTATGAGGGGGCGAAGGAAAACGGCGCCGTGGTTGCGGTGGAAGAGGGGGTTCCGCCGAAAGGGGAGGAGGCGAGGCGTGGTGGTGGAGCAGCAGTCCGTGAATACCATCGAAGCCATCTGATGTTTTATCAGACAACGAGAAGAAGAATATAGGGGTTTTCGGTAGGTTATGATCAAACTTCAAAAACCCTTTTGGGGTTTTAGGGTTTTAGCTCTGTGTCGGAGAGAGAGAGACACTGGTTCAGTGGCCAGCAGTGACAGTAGGAAAACAGTGCGGTGAAATTCGAAAGGGGTGTCCACCCACACCCCCTTTTTTTCGTCTTATACATATTTACTTTTTAATTTTAGCTATCGATCGAATAAATTAAAAAAATAAAAAAATTATTAATTAATAAAGAATGTATGAGAAGTTAAAAAAAAATATGAATATCACATCCCATTCTAAAAATTGAACAAATTATGCTATTGCATGAACAAATTATTCACTTGTAATTAAAAGGTTTTATGTTCGATTCTCGTTTATAAATTTGAACAATATTTTTGCCAACCCATTTTGAGGATAACATCGTTTGAACCATAAATGATACATAATTTTCGCTCTACAGCCCACAAAGCCATAAACCGCGTAGCACCGTATTTTCGTCAAGCAATAAAGAAACATAAAGTAATATAAATACCAACAAAAGGTTGGGAAATTTACGGTTTTCTATACTTTGGACCCCGACACAGCCCAAAACAAAAAGGTGGTGCCTTGAGACAGAAGGATGCATCAAGAATATAGGTTTGTTCAACAAAGTTTATGGAACAAAAGTTTGTCAGCCGACTGTTTGCTATTGATTGCCTCTTCGGTGTAATTTCTGTACAATTTAATACCCATTGGAAGATGAATCATTTCTGTTTCGGGTCCAAAATCGAAGAAGTAATCTGCTATACAGTTCTCGAGCTGTTTCTACATTTTCCTTTTATCATTTACCGTGTTTGCCACCATCTAGATGGCCAGCGTTCCTTCAGTGAACTGGTTCTCATCTGTGGAATCCGGAGTCGGAGTTTTGGGTTTACTCATCATTCGAGAAAACCCGTAGCCAAGAGAACTTCCGCTAGTTTCACATAACTGTAGAAGAAAAACATAAATCCGAATATCTCAAGTATCGGGATGAAGAGAAGTCAGAAGTGCTGGAACTTAGTTCATACTTAATGGTCAAAGCCAAAACTGAGGTTGCGGTAAAATTGTTGGCTTAAAATATAAAATAAAACAAAAGGAGAAGACGATGAGATAAATTAAACGTGGAGTACCTCAGTTAGCTCACCAAGGTGACGGGACCTATACTCATTGATTGTTGATGCGATCTCTGACATGGGTAGCTTAGCCTGAGGAGGAGATAAAATAAGAGGAGACGATGATGTTAGACACTTAAAGCAAAAACAATGTTTAAAAACAAGAAAAGCAGAATGTGGGCAAAACTGTTGAACATTTGAAGACAATACAGCAAAAAGAATCTTCGACGATGGCCATCTAATGATGAAATGTAAAAATTTATCGAAATAAAACCAAGCTCATGCCAATTACATGTCCCATTCAACCAATCTCTGCTTGATGATATACTATGTGGGTTAATGTCTTTTCTCCCAACGGCATTGGCTTATGATGCTTAAAAAGAGGTCCAATTGGAGATCACTTGAGTCCAATTGTTAGATACTTACATCTAGATGGAAGTGAAAAGAAATATCGACAATCAACTAACTTACCTGAGCTAAGACAGCAGCTGCCAACTGTAGACTAGGTTCCAAGGTCTCTGGGACAACCTGAAAGTTTCATGAGAATTAGTCAACTCATGAATGCGACGCATGATAGATAACCTGTAAGTTGCCACTCATTCGTCATTACAGAAAATCTTGCTCGAAAATATATAAAATAATATACTAATCCATTAAATTACTTTGGACAGGTGCTGGCAACAGAGAGCATATTAAGAACAGGCATAAAAATATTACCGCTGTAGCCCCAGCCTTCTCCAAATTAAGACCATGATCAACATCATGAGCACGGACAAAAGTTTTCACGTTAGGGAAATACTTGCTCAGAGCCCAAACAGTTCTATAGTTTGCACCAGGAGAATCTAAAGTGATTGCTGCAGCACATGCTCTTTCAGCACCAACTTTGTGGAGCACCTACTCATGGGGTAGAAAGCATTTCAAATCATAAACTCGCATATGAAATAACTATAATTTCAACTTATTGTACATACCTCTCGGCTACCAGCATCTCCAAAGTAGACTGGAAGGTCCAGCGAGCGTCCGACTGCCACTCTATCACTGAACAACAAAGAACAAAATAACGAGACATTATGAGTTGCAGTGTTTTGCAGAATTATAACCCTAATTCCGGAGACCAACCATTCCAAAGATTTTCAGGCCTTGAAATATACTTTTTTATTGTTATCGTGTCCTTGGTACTGGCTAAGAACATAAATAAACTCCAAAAACCATCCGTTGAGATGTGCAGACAAACTAGACTAACATGAAGTTGTTAAATACACATGAAACTAACATGTAAACATCCAAAGTAGTAATTCTAGAAATATCAATTATAAAGAAAATTTGGAAATGTCCTCAAGATTACCTCCTCACATCAAGAGCTACAAATGGAATTAGACTCTCAGAAAGAAGCTGTGCAATTATCTGAAAATAAAAAGGGAGGGAAAAAACAAATTACAAACGTTACAAATACATGTAAAAGCTTGAAAGATTTAGAATTAATTGTATGATAGCTGCAATTTTTTACAACCTGGCCAACTCGCCCAAATCCACAGATGATTATATGACCTTGTAAATCATCCGTCTGAAAATGTAAGCAATCCAAGAGACACCAATTATCAGTAAATGCTAAATGGTAATTACCAAAAAAGTCGAGGATTAATGAAGAATTACATTTGTCTCATTTCCAACACAACCTAAACAACAAGAAATAAGAATTAACAAATACTATGTGCATAGTTGCAGTTATTATATGCTAATCAAGTTCCTAAATAAACAGGGAAATATATTGTTGTAGATTCTAATTAAAAGGATTTTCTGGGTGGAAGAGAATGCTTTAGTCTAGGCAGAGCATCAAGAGTGACAAAAGTACATCTTCGTCGGGCATTTACCTCACTCTCGACTGGTAGTAAACTTCGAACGTCATGCACCTCAAAACGAGATGCAATTAACTGCCCTCCAGCAGCTAGCCATGGTGTGATGGCCATTGAAATTCCAACAAGAAGGAAAAGCAAAGATGATAACCGAGGAGTCATTATTCCCTGCAGATGCCACAGTTAGTTCGATACTTCTAACATTACATAATGGCTGAGAAGACATTAAGCTGCATATAGCAAAGTAGTTAATCAATTTTCAATAGCAATTTAATAAAAACATTCAGTATTGTTTTTACCCTGTCAACTTAACATTATGAATCTTAATTTGTAATATTGGTTAACACCTTTAATGCATTAAAAGAAAGCTACTATCCGCAACTACATTACTTGTAGGACATTACTTGTAGGAAATAAACACCAAAAAGACCATATAAACTTAGTAAATTTTTATAGCTGCTACATGAAAACCAGCAATTCTCAGAAGCAGTATCAACGGCTAAAGGAAGCAACCTGATTAACAGCTTCACCAAATGCAACAAATGCAAACTCTCCACCAGGAGCAAGAAGAAGACCAACTCTTATTGCAGATATTATTGAAACGCCAAATAGTTTGCCAATCAAAGCAACCAATAAGGATTTCCCACCAATCAGAAGTCCTAATGATCCAGCTATAACCGGGAAGTTTGAAAGAAGAAGTTTCGGATCAATAGACATTCCAACCTGAAAACCCATAAAAATAGTTGTTACAAATTGCAGATATAAGAGCGACATTGTACAGACAATAGACTGACAGGATCATTTGACTAAAATTAAAAACAATTTCAAAGTCAAGAACTCAAGTAACATCCTTCTCTAAATTAGAAATTGGATAATTTTGTTTTAAACAATCCGCTAAGTTTCCTTGTTATCATATAATCCAGAAGAAAATCCATTTCAAGCAATCACAGAGAACTGTTTCTTACAAGCAGTATCATCTAACATTACAGAAAGAGTGACACTTTATGACTCACTTTTAGATTACGGTATGTAATATTTGTTCAAAATTCTTGAGGTGGTATGGAAAGAAATGCTAGGAAATCATGGATTGACATCCCTACCAATTAAAGACATGTACGCCCAACCCGGGAATGGACTGAATTTGTCAGGGGTTTCTTTTCTGTTTTTGAACAAAAAGTAGTTTTAGGGGCAGGTCTTCCCTCTCTATTTCTCAATTATTCTCTCAATTCAACCTCAAACAATTGCCACCAGAAACCACATACCGTCATAAAGAAGAGGCCCAGTAGAAGACCACGATATGGAGCAATATCGGACTCAACCTGTAAAGAAAATTCAGTTTCTGCAAGAAGCAAACCAGCCAAAAATGCTCCCAATGCCATAGATAGTCCAGCCTATTCAGGAGACAAAAGAAAAGCACAAAACTTTGTAACTCTCAGGAATGACCCAAAAATAAATTAACTAAAAGACATAGAATGCACAATCTACCCTGGCAGTGAGAAGACTTGTTCCTAGAATAACAAGCAAAGTATTGGCAGAAAATATTTCTGCATTTTGATTTTCTGCAATTTGCCTATAAATTGGTCGAAGCAGCTGCAAAACCACAAAAAGAAACATTAGCTTCAACGCACAAACTTAACTCTTAAAAGAACTTGATGAGATAAAACAACAGAGCTTGTAAAAAAATTGGAAAACGTTCCGAACTTGTTTTCTCAAGCAATATGAAATATATGTTTCCTCTCCTCCCAGTCCTTTACTTACTCTAAGAGAACATGGTTTAGCATTATTTTCAATCAAGATTGCAACAATGGAGACTTAGTAGTCTGTTGAACCATTTGAAGCTTCAACTGTAAATGCCTAAACCAGCCGTGCAGTTACTTTTCCTGGGAATTCACCCATTTCATTGACATAATTCTCAAAAGTTTTGGATGTACGAAGACTTACCAAGCGTCCACCAGCAATTATGGCCGTGATGGCAACTGCTGCCTTTACAGCAGCAAGTCCAAGAGCTTCAGCAATGGCTTGAAAACCAATCTACAAGTAGAAGATGAAGTTACTTAGTATGATAAAAATAAGTAGCATGTTTGGCTCTGAAGTTCTGAACAATGATTAGATTCTCAACAGCAAGAGGAGAGGATAAGTAGTATTACCCCTCCTTTGGATGAATTTGGTGAAATCAGAGGTATAAGAATTAGCAAAACCACAACAGCCAAATCCTGAAAATTAACCAAAAAGTGAGTAATGTAACTAATTTAGTTCAATGATTTGTGAAACAAACCTAGATGATATGAAATAACCAATGGTGCAAAGAAAAGCCTAAAATAATGATGGAAGGGGTAGCAATCTAATTGCCAAGAATCAACACATAGTACGTAACCATAACGTCACTTAACCATGCACTAAATTTAAAGCTCTGATGGGTATTTACTGTATGGAGGACTCAAATCCAAACTATGCAATATGCATTGCTGAAGATGATCACCCTACCATAATTGCTCACTGTAAAGATGCAAAAGTAAGGACTCTAAAATCATGGATCTATGTGTCAAGATGTTTAGTTGATTCAACTAGACCACAAACTCTAAGTTACCAAATATACCGTTAATATATTAAAAAATGTACCAAGTCATTTTCCAGAAAATGAAGTCTTTTGAAACCAATGGACCCTTGACATGTTTTTTAAAATTCAAAGTGACCTGGAAAAGTAGGACAGAAAACGTAGCACGGCCATGACGTGAAGTGCTCTCACCCCGCTCTTGCAAGACCTGAAAATAAGTTGAAGCATATTAATTACTTGCCTGTCAAAAGAATATTCATTAGTAGGCTCTTGCAGTCTTTTCTTATAAAAAATAAATAAATTATTGGGAAAAAGTGCAGAGAAATGCAACCCATGTACAGAAACCATAAATAACATATAGACTAAAATAAGATCAAGCAAGAAATCTAGGAAGAACAGAACAACAACAACAACAACAACAAAGCCTTTTCCCACTAAGTGGGGTCGGCTATATGAATCCTAGAACGCCATTGCGCTCGGTTTTGTGTCATGCCCTCCGTTAGATCCAAGTACTCTAAGTCTTTTCTTAGGGTCTCTTCCAAAGTTTTCCTAGGTCTTCCTCTACCCCTTCGGCCCTGAACCTCTGTCCCGTGGTCACATCTTCGAACCAAGTCGCCAAGCTAGGGGATCTGCTGAAAGAGGTGACAGACAAGGTATGCAATCAGAGTTCCAAGCAATCAGTCCCAGATCAGAAGTTTGATTTCGAGTTCCGGCTGATTGTTATCCTTCTCCTTATCTTGCAGGTAGCATGAAGGATAAAGAGAAGAAAAGGAGAAAAGGTGATATGAGATACTTTTGCTTTTGAAGAAGTAACTTTCCACAGGCTTATTCTTGAACTGGGCTGGAGGGTTTTCTTGTTTCCGCCAGAGTATAAGGCCGACTGAAGAATTTGAGGGTCAAAACAAGTCCATCAAATCTAGAGTACGTTCGACCCTGCTGATATGGGATACTTTTGCTGTTGACAAAGTAGTGGATGTATCGGCACGTGGTTGCACTTGTCTCCACATGCTTCCTTGTATCCTTCTCACTTGCCCTATTTGTTCATCAGGCAGATGTGGTATCTTCTCGGGAAGCATAAGATGTTGAAGATGAGTACTCGAGAGCAATGGGGTTCCAGGCAGTCAGTTCCGGACTGGAAGCTTGATTCCAAGTGCTAACTGATTGCTCTCTTTCTCCTTGTCTTGCAGGTAAGAACAAGGCCAAAGGAAAAGACAGGGAAAAAGCATGATATGGGATACTCTTGCTTTTAACCCTGATGATATGAGATATTCTTGCTCTAGTGTAGCTTGTTTGCAGAGGTATTCTCGGGGGGAAAGAAAGCTGAGTATTTCGAGAGGCTTCGTTGGGAGTGCCCTCTCAAATATGAGGAAGGGTTGAGCATTTTTGCAGGTCTGCCTGTCCGTTGAGGATGGAGGTCGACATATATAGGAGTCTCCCTAACAAGGAGTAATACTATTCTTTTACCCTGCTTGGTCATAGCACGGTAGTGGGAGCTGCCAACTTCACGTGTTTTAACTCTGTCAGAGCACTTTGAAAAAGTGGTCTGTGGTATCTGGAAAGCTGATGTTACGTGTGAAGATTACAGATAAGCTTTATCCAAGGAGATCTGGCTCTCGAAGTTGAGAAAGCGGTGTGAGGATTACAGACAAGCTTTATCTAAGGGGCTCTCGAAGTTGAGAAAGCGGTGCCTCTTCGGTTTTCGAACAAGCAATCCTGTCAGGGATCTGTCTCTCGAGATTCGGAGAACGGTGCCTCTTCGATTTTTGAGAAAGCAATCCTGCTAGGAGTCTGGCTCTCGAGATTCGGAGAGCGGTGTCTCGTCGCTTTTTGAGAAAGTAATCATTTTGGGAGTCTGGCTCTCGAGATTCGGAGGACGGTGCCTCTTCGATCTTAAAGCAAGCAATCTTGTTTGGAGTGTTTTCTCGAATGTGAGTAAAGGTTAGGCCTGTTTGCTAGTCTACCTTGCCACGGAGCACAGAGGTTGACCCACAGGGACTTTCCAATTATCCAGCAATGGTCCTGTTCCTTTACCCTTCTGGGTAATAATATGGCAGCTAGACCTTCAAAATTTATGTGTCTAAACTTTGTTAGTGTTGTTTCTTTGCTATTCTTTTACCCTTCTTGGTCATAGCTCTTATGTACCACTGAACACCACACCAGAATTCACACATGATGAACAATATACACACTGCTCTATTGTGCTTTTAACGAACTGAACATGTCAACCCAATAGAGAACCAGAAACTGAACTACAAGAAATACTAAACGAATATAGGATAAAAACCAGTATTTTGAAGCCACTGAACAATGCAGAAGAATTAAATCATTTTTTGTGCTGGCCTGCTGTGTTTGATACAAACAATACCTACTCACCAATATTCTGCCTCTAACCCACAAACTATCAATAATTAAACTGTCATGGTGAGCTGCTTCTCATTTCTCACATGAAGAAGGCTGCTTTTACTGGAATATTCACACCCCAGACCCCTTTCCAAGAGAACAAGGCTTTTTTTTTTTTTTTTTCTCAAAGAAGGAAAATTTCCACAGTAGTTACCCACTTCATCATAGTCATCATGAATTTTGTATTTATTATAAGGTCCAAAAACCCCTTAGTAACTTAATATATCTGTATTGAACATATCCAGATACTCAATATTGTATTTCTTCATCTATCTACCCATATACTTACATTTTGAATGAGAAAATAAATAAAGCAAAACATTACCTGCAGAACAACTGCAGTGGATGATAAAGCCAGACCATTGCCAATTACTATTGCAGCAGGTCCAGGCAGCCCACAAACATAATGAGCAACCACACCAACCACAACAGCTGTCACCAAAACCTGCATTGGTTATGCATATTAACAAACTGATAGAAAACTTTTTTCTCACTACCAATACAGAAAATCTTACTAATGGCCAGGCCGAAACGAATATGAGTAACTCACCTGAGCAGAGCCTAATCCAAATACATATTTCTTCATTGAACTCAACCTTTCAACAGAAAGCTAAAAAATGCAAACCAGAGTATTGTTAATTTTCCTCATTGTAATTCAAATTAAGCATAATTTTTATTTTTTTTAACAAATTGAAATAGCAATATGTCCAATTTGTCCACTCCACCTCGAGGCCAATGTTGAACAGCAAGAAAACAACCCCAAATTCAGCAATTGCCTTTGTCCCATGTACATGACGAATAATAGAGAGGCCATAAGGCCCAATCAAGATGCCAGCAGCTAAATACCCAAGAACAGGACTGCCTAAAGATAGCAAAAGACAGATGATACCCATCAGTGAAATGGCGTTATAAGCCCAGGCAGTTATGATATGATGGTGTGATGTGGAAAAGAACCAAAACGTATTTTGTCAACTTGTGATCAAATCCATAGAATTACCCTCTTAATGAAACTTTAGCTAAGTTCAAGAAAGTGTAATAGGGTAGGGTGCTGCAGTACAGAGGTTGGCTAAGTGTAAGTCTAGATTATAAAAAGGTATATGACAAGAAAGTGAAAGGCATATGACAAGGAAGTGAAAAATAAATAAATAAAACAGTAGAAAGACATATAGCTAATCCACACATTAAAAGTTCAGTGTTTGGTTGGTGGAACTCCGAACTTTATGGTTTATATTCTAAAGCTTAAAAAGTAATGCAACTCTATAACCAAAACCAACTAGAAAATACTACTCGCCTACATTTGAAATGACAAAAAAAAAACCAAACAAGTGTGAAATAGAAATTAAAGCTATAGAGATTCAGTTACCTCCAGGAATTCTTTGAAATACAGGCACAAATATCACACTTGCTAACAATAACCATAACATGTCAAAAAGAGAAGCTTCCTCCTCATTCACCTGAGAAAAAGATAGAACAGATCAGAAAGTTGAAATTATGATAGACGTTAGACCAAAATAAAAATTTTGTTAGGCAACATACCTCTTGATGAGGAATCATATCAATTAGTTTTTTAATTCTTCTAGGAAGTTTCTGTAATTCTCGAACTAGAGGCTTCGCACTTGAGGAAACTTCTTCAATACTAGTGGTGATGACGTCTGGCTGTTGTAACAGTTGTGTGGCCCTTTCCACTCGATTAGCATAAAAGGTGAGCCTGTGATCAATTTCAACATCTTGAGGTCAAAGCAAGACAAGGCTCACACCCCATATAACCATTATAAGAGCAGGAATTTTTTTAAAAGAAAACCCTATTGAAGAGGGGAAAACAAGGCACAGTAATAAACGAAATAACAAGTAGAAAAAACACTACATACCCTACTCCAAATAGGAACATCCCGACAACCAGCTTTGGCCATTGCTTCCTTGCATACTCCATCAGACCTTGGAAAACTGATGTCGGAGTCCCATCAGCAGAAGAGAAGAAAGATGCAGAAAAGAAACGAGAAGATTTCTTCAATAATGTCTTTGGAGAATTTAACGGTGAACTCTCCCTACTCAAGTCCTTCTGAGTTTCCTGCTTTTTAGCTTGAACCACATTCTTTGACTTTTCAGCTTCTACGTCAGCGTCTTTTAGAGAATCCAAACTTAACTTTCCATTCTCATGATCACTCAAATCAACAAATTGACTTGCGTCTTCAAAACTCTGGCTGATTTTGTCAGAAGGGCTGTCTGCCAAAGGCTTGACAGCCAACAAATCACCATCAATTACCACATCTCTGTCCCTTTCAACAATGATATCAGCAGAACTTCCTAGGACTACCGTCTCCCCTTCCTCAAGAGCAGGATTATCATCACTCAACACCTGTCCTTGGTTGTTTTCTGTGGTGTCAACCATTGAGTTGGAGATAGATTTCTGTGCTCTTTGTAATGCAATTTCTGCATCGTTGACATGCTTTGCAGCTTCAAGTTCAAAAGCAACAGCTTGCTCTGCTAAAAGCATTATGTTGGTTACATCCTCTTCTGCTTTCAAAGCACTGAGCTGTGCTTTCTCTGCAACCTCATTCAACCTGTCCATTTCCTTCTGCAACTCCTCTTTTTTACTATGCAAGTGCATTAGCTCTGCCTCACAGTTGGCCAAATTCGCCTGGCATTCCTTAATATCTTCCTGGGCAACCAAAAGTGCTTTTTCTTCTTCTTTGCAATCATGTTCCCCATCATTCTCTTGTGAAATTTCAGAAGAATTGGTCTCTCTTTTTGCAACCTGTAAAGATTCCACTGCCACCCGAAGCCTTGCCTCTGCTAATGAAAGTGCCATTTTTGCTTTCTGAACGCCTTCTTTGGCAATAGTCTCTTCATGAACGATCTCTTGGACAGTATCAAGGGTTGAGTTAACATTATTCCAAGCATTTGCTGCTTCATCCCGTAGGCATATCGCGGCTTCTGATATTCTCTGAGCCTTTTCTTCAAACATGGTACTATTAAGTCGTGCAGCTTCAAGCTCTTTCATGGCATTTTGCAGCAATTCGTTCAATTCATCCAATGTAGGTGCCTCTGGTTCTTCTTTTTGTTCTTCATATCCATCTTCTTCTCTGGAATCACTCAACTCGGCATCATGAACAGACCCAACTCCTGAGCTCTCATCATGACCTTCTAGGTATTCCACATTCTGACCATTTCCATTAACATACGCTAATGAGTCATTACTCTGACACCGCGACCACCAAACTGTTCTTGACCCTTTGAAAACACTACCAAAGTTACAAGATAAAGGCACTTTCGGATTCGAATTCCACAAACGATCATCAGCTTTTTCTCTATAGGTCAAACGTGAAATCCTACAACCACTTACACAGACAGTTCTCTTCAACTTCTTACCTGACCATGCTTTCACAACAATTCTCGAATTACCCAGAAAGTTACAACTAACATCTTTACTCCCAAAGATAATCGGTGAACTACTAAAGCAATTCAACCTCTTATAACTAGCCCCTTCACTGCCATATAACACATTTGGCTGCTGAAAACTACACAGAAAATCCATATTCGAACAGCAGCCTAAAAAAACCACACTCAAACGCCTATAACCGCAATCAGCATCACATTGACACTCTCATTCCTCGCTCGATTTTTCGACAAACACCTGGCCAAACAAATCCAATCTACTATAAATAAAATAACATCAAATCAACTCATAAATTCATAAAAATCAATAGCTCTAAACCCTAAAACCACCAAAAATCCGTAAACTCGCACCTTCGCACAACATGCATAAATTCACACATACGCCAGTTCGTTCACATTTCACAAAATCCCAAACAAATCCACACGTACCTAATCACACAAATACACATACACACAGAATAATCGGAACACGAATTAGTTCCAATAACTACAAACAGACGCAGCCAACCGTATACGAATACGTATATGTAAATGCAAGTGCGTGCGTGCGTGCATGCGGCGGACTTACCGATAATCGGAGGAAACAGCTGGGAAAACCAAAGGCGGAGTTCGAGAGGAAAATGGCGGAAGTGAGAAGTGCGAGAAACAATCGACGACGTTGTTTTGGTACTGGTTCGGCTCGCTCAGTCTGCTCTGGAGAAGGAAATGGAAACTCAGCTTCCAGTCCAGTAGTCTAACTGCCTCTTCTCTCTTTGGAAGGTCGGAAATGTAAAAACGCCTCCTCCGTCCTCGCAACGAAATAAAAAATAAATAAATAATCAAACAAATACATTTGTTTTTTTCTATGAGGAAAATACAACTTCGTTTTGTCCCCACGTATGCACACACGTACACGGTACACCTAACCTACCACATTCTCGCGAAAAAAATAATAAATAATGCTTAAATTTGTCAATATTTAAAGTTAAATTATAATTTTACCCTTACGAACCCATTTAAAGAGGTGTTTTTAAAAAAAAAATTAATTTTCTAACTTTTTAGAATTTTTTAACTTTTTCATTGGTCTTAACATTTTTAAACATTCCAAATAAATACTTAAATTATTGAAATGCCATATTTGTTAAGTTCCAATTAATTTTTCAAACATAGATTATATTCATTACCCACCAACTGGTATATCATGGTCAACATTAATATTAGTTGCCTCAAAATCTAAATTTCAAATATATTATATAATATGGTATCCAAATACACATCTATGTACTTCTATACGACTGGTTAGTGCATTTAAAGGAATTTGGGTAAGTTTTTTTAAATGTGAACTGAAGTCAGTACTACGGTTTAGTGATATTCATTTTCACTTGTAAGTGAGAAATCTTATATTCGATTCACGCTAAAAGTAAATTTGAACTGTATTATTAATAGGTTATTGTGAAGCTAAGCTTACTACTAAAAAATGCGAATAAAACTTTTCCTTGTATCTTTAATAGTAATTATCTTATGCAAATACGGTTGAAGGATGAATGGGTCATGAGTGGTGATAATAATATATTTGGATTTTAGCCACTTCTTATGCGTCACGACTTACAAGTTTGCAAACTCAGCAAAATCTGCAGGCCTTCAGCGACGGAGGATACAGATTTGAGCTTATTAGGTGGGCCCGTGTAACAAATCAATCTGGCGCATGTCATTTGCTATTTCCGTGGCGCGTGTACATGATTGAATACGAGGAATGGAAATTGCACTCCTATTCAAGTGTATGTTAATATTTTTGAAATGAAAATATACGTCAAACTCCCTACACTCTGCAAAATTGAATCCTTAAAATAAAGAATTCGGCTCCTAAGACCTACTCCAATATTTGGAGTAAAACTTAAATTTTAGATTTTAAACTTACTCTAACTTGCTCCAACCCTTGGACCAAGTATGAGTTTTAATCCAAAACTCATTTTTAGGGCAAATTTAGGCAAAATTTCTCCTTCTAGATAGTGGGCTAGCCACCATATATGTGTTTTTATTTATTTATTTATTTATAAATTCATTGAATTTAGCGGCTAAAATATAATATGATCAAATTCAATGATAATAGCTATATATATCTAAAGGTCCAAATTTAAATCCTACAACTAAAATAATTAAGAAAAAAATTTCTTTCACATGTTTCATATTCTTTTATAGTGTCATATAAGTTTCATGGTGCCGGTTTATTGGCTTTTCAATATTTATCCGAATCCAAATATTTTCAAGTTAAAATGTTCATAAAATTAAATTATGGTAATCTACATAATTTTTTTTTAAAGTTACTTTAAGAAAAAAAATTATCCTAAATTAATTCTTTAGAAATCTTGGGCTAAAAATTTAATTAAAAAAGTTGGAGCAAAAAAACTGTTTTGGATTTGTTTATACCATATTTAGGGTCTCGTATTTAGATCTCGTACAAATACTCGGAGGACTTAAATGTAATTATGTGATAAAGGAAGGGGCAAATATGTAATAAGTGAGGAGTCCTTATTCTATAAAAGGACCCCTCACCCTCACAATTAGGGGAGGCCATTTCTGGAGCCTTCTCACCCCTCTCACATCTCCTCTCATTACAGAGGTTCTCTACCTCACCTCTCAGATAAATACAATACAATCAGTGTGGACGTAGCCCAAACATTGGGGTGAACCACGATACATCTTGTGTTATTTACATTTCATGCAGATTCACGGTCGGATTTATGTTGTTCCAAGACCTCCGGTTTTGTGCATTAACATTTGGCACCGTCTGTGGGAATCGATACGAAAAGCTACATCGGTTCTCTCTCAATTTTTCATCTCACCACCGTGAAACCTTCACAACCTCATCACTGTCCACCGTGTATCTGCAAAACCCAAGAGACGCTCAACTCTCTCTCTTTCTCTCTCTCTCTCTCTCTCTCTCTCTCTCTCTCTCTCTCTCTATCTCTCTCAAGTTTGATTTCTCAGAACAACAAACTTGTTCGCTGGGTGTAGATGATCGAGGCCAAGAACAAGGCCTTATTCGCTGGGCACCTTGTTGAGCCCGAGCTTGCCGACGGTTACTTTGAATGGGCTGGTCTCTTTGGTGCATGCAGCTTAGGCGGACCGTTAAAAGGCCCGGACTAATAATTGTAATAAACTCTTTGTAACTTGTTTCCAGGTACCTGCATGATGTTTGCTTTCCATCCACAGTTCACAAGAACATCAAATTATCCAATATTTTTCTTGACATCGATCTCAATCCTTTCTTTACCCCAAAACCTCTGGATGGGATGCAATACTCCAGAATGCACAAGGCCATCAACGTTTACAGGAAAGAGTGATGTTTACAGTTTTGGAGTAGTCATGTTGGAACTATTGACAGGTAGAACGCCTATTGAAAGGCAATCCTTCAGGAAAGCAACTCCCCACTTTTTCAAGGAAGCTTTTATGAAGTTGATGGTCCACAAATCAAAAGAGAACGAATGGGCTTTCGCGACATCGGAGAGAGTGGCGGAGATGAGCAGAGCAAGCACGAGACCCGGCGAAGATGGAAGCTTGTTCAGAGGTCGTCGTCTGCAGTTTCGTTGAAAACTTCAAAGCCGCAAGCTCCCAAAGAGTTCGTCTGTCCAATCTCCGATTTTCTAATGGTAGACCCCGTCATTGTTTCATCCGTCCACACCTTCGAACGCGCCTGCGTCCAAGTTGCAAGTCCCTCAGCTTCACGCCTGCTTTCCCAGACCCTCCATCGCCAGATCTCTCATTCGTAATCTTCAACCTCGCCCTCTGGTCCGCCATTCTCAGCTGGTGCCACAAATCCTCCGTCAATCCTCCCAAGCCCCTCGATTTCGTCGCCGCCGAGAAGATCTTTCGCGCATCCATTGGTTCCCGGAACGAAACTAAAGTCCCAGAAACGCCGCGACTGAAACTAAGTCACTCTTTCATTGCAGCTGACTCAGGTTGAACAAACCCGACGACTGACGCGGACCGTGGTTCGATTAACCGGGAGGCCGCTGGAGTCATCATTCTCCTCCACCTGGATCTGCAGTGGTCATCTTCCCAACCTGATTGGTTTGCAACGAATGAGATAAGTTTTTTATGATTAATCATATTATTGTTGTCTGCCATATGCTAAAAGAAGAAGATAAGTTTTTTATGATTAATCATATTATTATTGTCTGCCATATGCTAAAAGAAAGAAGAGGATACTGAAGCATGGGGTGTGGAACCATATGACTTGGAAAATGTTGACGCAAGTTGCAAGAGTCTTGTTCACAAAGGCAATGTGCGGGCAGCTGACATAAAGTTGCCACTGCCATAACGGGCAAAACCATTTTCTCTCGTGATAACATCAGTAAAGCTACGGGAAAAGAAACAAAAGCAGAAAAGAGGAAAGCAAAAGGGAGGCATATGGGGACACTGCAAAAGCAAGGAATAAACACCTCACCAAAATGATGTAATTTATTTTCCTTATCTTTCGGAAATATCTGTATAAACCCCATCAAAGGGTAAAATAAAAAATTTTAAAAAAAATTAAAAGAAAAGGGCAAAGCCCAAAATAAATGGGCTGGAATGTTGTGTAGAGGGCGAAGGCCCATAAGCCCAAAATACCACTAACCAGGTGATCAAAAGTACGCCCAGTACTCCACAATTATTTGGCAACCTGCCGCTATTACCACCAACCAGGTGATCAAAAGTACGCCAAGTACTCCACAATTATTCGGCAACCTGTCGCTATTACCACCAACCAGGTGATGAAATGTACAACCCGTACTCTAATATCATTTGGCAACTAGCCATTCATGCCACTAACTAGGTGATGAAATGTACAAGCCGTACTCCCTTTCATGCCACCAACCAGGTGATCAAAAGTACGCCCAGTACTCCAAATTATACATGAGCAGTACTCATGTCATTCATACATAAACATTCATGAGCATCACTTATGACAATCATACATAAACATTCATGACCATCATTCATGTCAACATTCATGAGCATCACTCATGTTAACATTCATGAGCATCACTCATGACAACATCCATGAGCATCACTCATGTCAATCAACATAAACATTCATGAGCATCACTCATGTCAATCAGCTTCAAAAGCTTCATTTACAGAGCTCTAGCTTCAAAAGCTTCATTTACATCCAGCTTCGAAAGCTTCATTTACAGAGCTCTAGCTTCAAAGCTTCACTTGCAAATCTTCACCTACAAAGCTTCAATGCAAGGTATACAAATACCGTATCCGAACAACCGCCACTTCGGCCCATACATGGATTCAATTTGAAGTCTCCAGCCAACAGACTCTATTGACCGAAGACTTGGGAGACTACATTATGTACCATATATTGGGCTTCAACTAGGCCTCATGAAAAATACTTGAGGGACTTAGCCCATTATTTATGTATTAAGGAGCGAGCCCTTATTCTATAAAAGAGACTCCCTCACTTTCATTAGAAAGCACCCATTATTCATGTATTGAGGAGCGAGCCCTTATTTTATAAAAGGGACTCCCTCACCTTCATTAGAGAGCAACGCCGCCATCTGAGCAACCGCCTCACCGCGAGCATCACTTCTAGCCCATCATTTATGTAGTGAGGAGCGAACCCTTCTTCTATAAAAATGACTCATTCACCTTCATTAGAGAGCAACGCCGCCATCTGAGCAACCGCCTCGCCGCGAACATCACTCATAACCCATAACTTATGTATTGAGGAGCGAGCCCTTATTCTATAAAATGGACTCCCTCACCACCATTAGAGAGCATCGCCGCCTACTAAGCAACCACCTCGCCGTGAGCATCAACTCTATCCCATCATTTATGT